GGGGGTTCACGTATATTAAGGGGAGTATGCAGTGCCCATGGAGTCTTCTGTGAAAAGGTCTTTAAGTAGCGTTAATCCTGTTTGCTGCAGCTGGAGTACAATAATGGGCCTGCATGCACACCAGCTGTAGCGGCGTTCAGAAAACACATGTGCCACGCGTGAGCCGGCGCGTTCATCACACTTCTACATTCTAGCCACTGTAAAGTGGATAAGAGAGGAAGAAAACATCGCCCGCCGTTCACGCCAAGCAGTCGAAGCAGTCGCAAACGTCTTTTTGGAGCCACTGGCCACTTCTGTGTGCGTGCACAGGATTGCGGCAGCAAAATGAAAAGACACTCTGCAACAACGAAGCAAAGGAGTCTTGCGTCTTACTTCAAGAAAGTTCGAACCGATGAAGCGGACGGAGAAGAACCGCCTCCTTCGAAGGATAAAACTTCGCCCTCCTCAGCACTGGTGGAAAGCCAAGCACGTCTGAACTTCTGTAGCGACTCAGGAGAATGCACCGGTTTATATGAATCACCTGAGAACGAAGACAAGCAGGACACCAATGCGCCGCCGGGAAATGATGGTGGCTGCAGTGCAACTCCAAGTCAACGCTGGGCAAAGTGACGCCTTTACCACTGGGCAATGCCCAAGGAAGGTGAGTGGCATGGCACCTACACATTCTGGTTCGCCTCCCCTCTGTGCGACGAGTGCGAATATTTTCGACTTGGGACTGTTTGTCTCGAAAAGCAATAATGTAAATGATCCAGAGACGATGGAGAAGCTGCTGCTCAATCCGTGGACCCCTCCGGCTAACTATTATCCAGCCACAGGGAAAAGGAATCTGAAGTTCCAACCTCACTGGGTAGATCGTTACCCATGGCTTGTTTAGTCAGAGAAGCTTCAAGGAGCATTATGCAAATATTGCATAGTCTTCGCAAGCGAGTGTGCAGGAAAAGGGGAGCACCAGCGCTTGGGCTGTTTTGTAACTAAGGAGTTCACCAATTACAAGAAAGCCATGGACGCCTTTAAGAGCCACGCATCCAGCAGTTATCACGCCATGTCAACAACGCTATCGGAGAACTTTTTAGCAGTCCGGTCCCGCTCACAGCATGACATCTTAACACAACTTGACCACGGCCTTAAAAAGCAGGCGGAAGAAAACCGCAAGAACTTGCTGCCAATAATAGAAACAATCCTTTTCTGTGGCAGGCAAGAAGTACCGCTTCGCGGCACAGACGACTCTGGTTCGATAAATATGTCTGAAGTGCTGCCATTCAAAAATGATGGAAATTTCCACGCACTGCTTAGGATGAGAGCAAAATGTGGAGATGCCGCCTTGAGAGCTCACATGGAAACATCTCCGGCGAATGCGCTGTACACGAGCCCAAAAATTCAAAATGAGTTGATCACCCTCTGTGGTAAAATCATACAAAGAAAGATAGTGGAAAAGGTCAACTCAGGTTTGTGTTTTTCAGTTCTAGCTGACGAGGCCACTGATATATCTCGCACCGCCCACATTTCCCTATGTGTAAGGTACGTTGGGCACAACACGTCGGGAGTGCCCATTCTTAAAGAAGATTTTGTAGATTTCGTTCCCGTGTACGATCTCACTGGCAAGGCCCTGGCGAGCACAATCCTGAACAGCCTTAGAGGTCATGGCTTTGACCTGAACCTACTTTGCGGGCAAGGATACGACGGCGTGGCACCAATGAGTGGCCACCTTAACGGTGTTCAAGCCTTCATTCGTCAAACAGCGCCCAAAGTGTTGTACGTGCATTGTAGCGCCCACTCGAACCTTGCTCTGCTTCACGCATGCAAACTCCCCAGCATCCGCAACTGTTTGGGAACTGTATCCTCAACCTGTACGTTTGTGAGAGCTTCGCCACAGAGGACGAACCAACTGCGAGACAAAGTAGAAGATTTAACACAAAAAAGAAAATCAGTTCTCTCCTTTTGCCAAACAAGGTGGGTAGAGAGTCACGATGCACTTCAGCGTTTCCTTGAACTGTACGTGCCTATTGTGCAATTCCTCGAATATTTGGAAGAAGAGGCCGCGTCATCTGATACTTCATCAAAAGCTTCTCAACTGCTCAATGCCATTACGAAGCCCGAGTTTGTCGTTTCGCTTCAGATCTGTAGCGACCTCTTCTCTTTGACACTGCCACTTTGCAAGTTTCTTAAAAAAATTGACTGTGACTTGGCTCAAGCGTGCGATCACGTAAAGAATGTTATAGACGTTCTTTCCACAAAAAGGGCTAGTGCGGAAACGGAATTTAATAAGATTTTTCCGAAGTCGCTCTCTTTGCTGAAGATTACAAATGTTGAGATGGCCCTACCACGCATCACTGGAAGGCAGATGCAAAGAAGCAACGTACCTTCTGCTACTCCCGAAGAGTACTACCAGAGGAATGTGTATTTGCCTTTGCTGGCTGACTTCGAAAATCAATTAAAAGACAGGTTCGATGCCCATAAGAAGGTCGTGGTTGGCCTTAACATGCTGCTGCCGAAATTCTGCGCCTCGGCTAGCCTTTCTGATATTGATGATGCAGTGCAGTTTTACCTTGGCGACATTCCTTCGGCTAATGTCATCGAAGCAGAGTTCACACTGTGGGTGAACAAATGCTGCCAGATCAAAGAAAAGAATCGCCCAGCTTGTGCTTTACAGGCCTTAGAGATGTGCAACCGCGACATTTTTCCGAACATCCACAGCCTACTTTCTATCCTGGCGACTTTACCCGTGTCGACGTCGACCCCGGAACGGACTTATTCCACACTGAGAAGGCTGAAGAGCTACCCTCGAAATCATATGAACAACGACAGATTGACCGGACTAGCACTGCTCAGCATCCATCGAGAACTTCAAGTGACCCCAGAACAAGTCCTCACAGAATTTTGCAAGTTGCCGAGAAGGAAAAACTTCCTCGTTTAAACTTCCCTCTATGTTTCAAGAGTCAATTAAAAGCTAAACCCAGCTAGCCCAAGCTTCAACCCTTCTATCCTTTCGCAATTACGAGGAAACTATCCAGCAAGCAGAATGTGCAAACGGTAACAAGAAGATCGGAATGTCGGGCGACTTGTTTGTTTGCTTGCATACATGCTGTCACGGACTGCCATTTTTGCGACCCGGCGTAACGGCAAATTAACGGGCGCCGCACTCCCTCGCTGACCGGTGGAACCGTTCGCTCATGAAAGGCTGGCCTTTAGTGCAGGGAAGTACTGAATGGGGTGTTCTTCTTCAAACGTTAGTCGCCGATGTTTGATCCTTTGTACCTACGGCGGCGTCGGCAGGGTCGTCAAAGGCCGCAATGCACCCCGAACTAGCTGTAGACTGCAAGACGCACCGGCTGAAACCAAGGAAGCTGACCATTCCTACGGGCAAAACTGCTTGTGGACAAGCCGTATGAGAGAACCCCAACAGGTTGTCACTCTCGCTCAGTTGAGGACCCTCTCCTAATTAAAAAGGGACGTGGTCAATATATTTTTAGGGTGGAGTTTCTAACAATGAAACGTGCATGATTGGACCCATGTAGAGGTCTCTTTTCCCCCAGGACGAGAATCAGGGGACACGGAGGTCGATTTAAGAGCATGATTTCGCCTTGCTAAGCAGTCTAGTTGCTGACCAACATGGTGTAGAAGGAGATCAAGAAGTATCCCTTAAGTGGTTGTGGCTCCGTGTCGGCTGGCCACCTAAACTTAGCCATTCGTCTTGTTGTGACGCGAAATTAACGTCTGTAACGTAGGCATCGGTACTTGAATCTCGAGTAAGCTCAACCTGCCCGAGATCGGCTTCAAACACTAGCCTCCCGGAAACACCAGCGCTGCAACACCGCCGACATCGCAGTTGTGCCAGAACTCTCTCTGACTTCTCGCATCCGATCGTTGTGGACTCAACGCTGCCGGTCATCACAGGTATCCCTTCACCTGTTTATACCTTCGGACTTTCTCATCTGTAGTTTTATTGTTGGTTAGTTTTGTGTAGTTTGTAATACTTCTCTCTTGTAAGCTGATTTATTGATTTTATATGTATTTTGTTAGTTGGTATTAAGTGTTGTACTAGATTCCTCTGCAATATTCCTAGATTCCTCTGCAGTGCTGCAATACCACTAGAGTTTTGTTTTTCCCCACATACGTCTCTGATCTCTTCACTGTCTCTGCCTACGTACGGAACGACCTAACCTGCTGCCATTCCCATCGCCGACTTCGCGCTGGCGACGCTAGAGTGGCAGCTTGTAACACATACGTACCGTTTTTGTACCGCGGTTATATTGTGTTACTTCATCAGGAGCCGTTGGTCGCGGTTCCCCGGCTTTGGTGGTGCTATTGTTCAAACTTATTTCTTGCTTTAACCAGAATTTGAGGTTGACATACCAATTTCTTTATTTGGGTACAAATAATTGAAAAGTACCATCGAATTATTACAAGTAAGCGATGTACTTGTTTTATTCACGAAAATAAGCCAGTATAAATATTAAAAAATGGCAGCCGTTCTACACACAACCCCCCCCCCCCCCCCCCCCCCGAAAAAAATTCCTGGGTACGGCCCTGCCTGTCCGGACCCAAAGATTCTTAGCACCCTGTGCTGCGTTGCAGATCTGACCGCCGTCGTGGTCAGTTGCTTCGCAGTCGCTGAGGACTGCAAGTTAATTGACGTATGCATGTGGGAGGTAGCGGCCAAATCATTTTCTGGTGAGGGAGTGCGTAACTGGTGGTGGTCACCAGTGAGGCCGCACCCCAAGCCTCATTATGCAGTTCATCACGCGGATTAAAAAAAAAGCTAGTTTGGGAACTGCACGGTACTGGGATTCGAACCACGAACCTCTTGCATGCGAGGCTTATGCTCTAATCACTACGCCCTTGCTGAACTACACCTGGGCTTCTTATCAGTCTTCTAATGTAATGAATCCAAAATACTTGTGTTCTTTTGATAAAGTTAGTTGGGTTTCATTGATTGCATTTAGAAAGTTGGATATATTTGTTGTATTATTGGGACATTGTACTCAATTGTTTCTTCATAGGCCTGGCTTTCAGTGTCCCCAAAGGAGTTGCCATTCCTATGAGGTAAAGCAACGAGACTTTTATCATTTTTGCATTAGGGCATGTTTATTGGTGTTCACATTAGTGTGTGATTTTCATTTTCCGGTCTTTTTCGTTCCTGTCCTAGGGCATGCACTCTGTTTCACTCTTCCATTTGTTTCCTAGTGCGCACTTGTATTTGTGTGTTTAACACAGTATTCTCCACCCAGCCTTCAGAACATGTACAAGGAGCTAGCGAACGATATTCCTGGCTTTCAGCAGCCTTCCCATGGCAACTTGACTGGATGGGCACAGCAAGGTAAGAAGCCATGGATTTGTTTCTGGAAAAGGGACTCCTAGAACACGAAATGTTTATTGCGGGTTTTATGCATTCTATCGATAACCTTGATTTTGTGTATTTGTGTTTCTTCGGTGTTAAAAGGGGGCAATGCATTGGGCTCTGTGGATGTGTTCCGGGGAGCCAGGTTTCATCATTGCCGCGAGGATCTTGTTCTTGAGGGCTTTCATTATAGAAGTGTTCAACAGTATTTCTTTAGTCACAGAGGCAATTGACTTCCGTGCTTCAGTCATCTGAAGCTTCACTATTTACTGCTAAATGTAAGGGAATATTGATAGCTAATAATATAAATACACTCAAGCCTCATTATAGCAAAGTCCCACCTGCCACAAAAACACTTTGTTACATTCCGCTCGTCTACCTCTGCGCAGCACGTAGACGAGCGGAGCGGAAAATAATGAGAACAAAAGGAAATCCGTCTGCGAAAACCGAATATAACAGGATAAACGCTGCGATTCGTCGCCATACAAAAAAATTAAGACGAAATCAATGGGCCGCTTTCTGTGAGAGTTTATCAACGTTTACGCCCTTGACAAAGATATGGGCAGTAATAAATAGTCTTTCTGGGAAGATCCGAACACACAGGCCATTCGAAGCACTCGCTTTGAAACAAGAGATAGATTTGCAAACCCTTGCAGAGGATTTCGCAGACGTGTACATATCTGGTAGATCAGCAGGAGCGGCGATTCCTCTGTCACCCCAGTTTTTTCACACGATGGATACGCCATTCACCTTCCGAGAGCTGGATATGGCACTTAGCAAATTAAGAAGACGCTGTGCCGTGGGTCCCGATTTGATCAGCAATCAAATGCTGACATATCTACCATATGAGCGAAAAAGGGCCCTTTTGGACATATTTAATCATGTCTGGAGCATGGGAGAGATCCCATTTGTTTGGAAGACAGCATGGGGGTGCCAGTCCTAAAGTCCCGAAAGGATCCTGCGAACCTCGCGTCGTATCGACCGGTATCTCTTACATCATGCGTACCCAAGTTGATGGAAAGATTAATATGTACAAGATTAACTTGGTACCTTGAACAAAGAAGACGATGGCCACCGTGTATGACCGGATTTCGCCCACGACTGAGTGCCCAGGACAGTGTTTTGGACCTATTAAGCCACATCAAACACCACCGCGTCAGTGGACTCTCGACACTCGCCGTCTTCATAGACGTTGCCAAGGCATATGATTGTGTGCTTCAGGCAGGCATCGTGAACGGGCTCCAAGCCATGGGTGTGTCGGGAAATGCTCTTCGGTTCGTACATGAATTTCTCAGAGACCGCTGTGTCCGTGTTAAGCTTGGAAATGTAACGAGCGAAGAGAGACGCGTTTCCCTCGGCGTCCCACAAGTAAGTGTTCTATCTCCCTTGCTTTTTAACGCTGCCATGGCCAGGCTTCCCGACACTTTGCACTCAGCTCTGAAAGCAGTTAAAATATCCATCTACGCATATGACATCTGCATTTGGATCTCAGGGTACCAGCACAAACGTTTGGCCCGGATAGCACAGAGCGCTATTTCAATCATTGAGCGTCACTTGTTGACACTTGGCCTATCTTTATCAGCGGAAAAGTCAGCCTTCATGCTCTTCCCGGGAGCGCGACGGAAGTCAACACGTCTGTCGCTGAATATTCGAGGCCACTCAATTCGTTGTGCAACAAGTGTCCGTTTCCTGGGCATCACCATCGACAACAAGCAATTATGGCGACGTGCGGTTGGTGGTATAGTCACTGCATCAGTGCAAAGGATCAACGCTCTTCGTCGCATGGCAGGGGTCCGTTGGGGCAACAATCCTATGTCCATGCTTAAATTGAATGATGCGCTTATAACAAGCCGCATTCTTTATCAGCTGCCCCTGATATTACCATCACCAAGCCAGTTCGAACGCCTAGAGGCAGTGCACAGAAAGGGTCTTCGCTTGGCGATGGGAGTCCCTCAGGCGGCTTCAAACACGAAGGTCACCAATGAAGCCGAGTCTCTTCTGCTCCGCCTTTTGGCGTCTCAGGCCTTATTGACACAGCTGTCAAGACTGGGCGAGTCCTTCACAGGCACGGCGCTTCTCCGGCGGCTAAGAGCAAGAACTGACTCACATTTCAACGCGGCACTAAACATATTTCAATATTTAGGCTTGAAACTGCCTAAATGGCGCCCTATGGACCCGCCATGGTCTTTTGTGGATGTTGCGTGCAACTTCAGCGTACCCAATCTACCAGCGAAGCGCACCATTCCAGCCGCGGAAGCAAAATTTCTTGCGCTGGACCACTTGAGCACCATGTACCGCGGCCACCTACAAGTGTACACCGACGGATCAGTGTGCACACAGACGGATAGCTGCGCAGCGGCTTTCTGCATACCCAGCCTGGGCGTGTCATGGTCGGGCCGCCTGGATCGCGTGGTTTCGTCCACAACGGTAGAAAGCGCTGCAATTACGGTGGCTTTGCGAAAACTGCGATCCTTTTCTGCACGAAATGTTGTAGTGCTGACGGACTCCAAACCGGCGCTACAAAGACTGCATCGTGGCCTACCTCAAGAAAAGTTCACCAGGCAATCTCTGGCACTAATCAAACACCTAAATGGCAAGAGTTTTAATATAAAGTTCCAGTGGATCCCATCCCACGTTGGCATTGAGGGCAACGAAAAGGCTGATGCCCTTGCATGCGAAGCACGTACATCGTTTCCAAAAGTAAGAACTCCCAAGACTTACCAGAACAACAAAGATCCGATACGCAATCATTTCAAGGCAATCTACAAGTTTCCACACCAAGCATGTGTAATTCATGGACTTTCTCATGAAGAAGCGACGCTGTTGTACCGCATTAGAACCGGCTCCGCATACACCCCGGCCTGGTCATTCAAGACTGGGAGATACGCTTCCCCGTTCTGTGCCTTCTGTGGGGACATCGGGGATATTGAACATTTCATTTGGCTTTGCCCACAGTTTAATGCGCAAAGAGCAGCAATGATCCGCACCTTGCGAAAAGGCTGTCATAGGCACCGGACAGTTGATGACATCATCTTTCCTGAAGGACCCGCGGCAACTAGGAGGAACGTGCAACGAATTTTGTTGGTCTTCCTGCGAGACACTGGGCTGTCTGACACGTGGTGACATTGTCCAAATTCAGGAGATGCTCAGGTGGAACAATTGCCGGCCATGCAGGCCAGGCTAACCCCGCCTGCTGCAACACCACCACCACCACCACCACCACCACCACCACGATTTTAATTGGAACCAACAAACAATCCAGCGCAGGAAAGTATTGGGGACTTCATTTCTAGCAGTTGATATAAAATGTGAAAAAATTACAGTAGAAGAAAGTAACACTTCCTGCCGCCAGGGACTGAACCTGCTTTTCATCCCCTTCAGTTTCTTCACATGTTATATCGTAAGTACAACAAGCAGCATCCCTATACTTTCCTTGGCTTGATTGTCTGTTCATTCTCATTAAAAGTTGTATCTAAAAAGGAAAACAAACCCTTAAGTTCGTCTTTTTTCATTCTTCATGGGGAGTGTCTTGTTCTGGCAGTCTTTGTGCCTTCAGGTAGTATGAGAGGTGTAGTGGAGCCTATGCACCGACCTGTATGCGCCTTCGAAAGAGGGCAAAAAACCACGCACTCTGATTGCATGAGAACCTGTGCCGCCTTTGCCAGCCTTGCCGTACTGCCCTTTTCCGTTGTGACCTCGTTGCAACTTCTCTGGTTCAATAAACATCACATTTGGTGGAGGTGCTGGGTAGTGACTGTGTCAGTCATGTTGTGCGGTGGTCTCTCGGCCAACTTGCGTCAGCGGAGCTCAAAGTCTGCTTGGGGATATCAGAAACCTCCACCAAATGCGATGAGGTTTATTGAACCAGAAAAGTCGCAACGAGGTCGCAATGGGAAAGGGCCATACGGCAAGGCTGGCAAAGGCGGCACAGGTTCTAGCGCAATTAGAGCGCGGAAACCTGTGCTGCCTTTGCCAGCCTTGCCGTACGGCCCTTTTCTGTTGCGACCTCGTTGTGACTTCTCTGATTCAATAAACCTCATCACAGAGGGATTATTGGTCATCTGCCATCTCATATAAAGATCATGTGCTATATGGTGCCAACAGGCAAAAAAAAAGTGTTATCTCTCGCTGTCATGGCTATGAGCAACTCTGATGAACACTCCCAGGTTTAAATACACAGATATACCCTACAAAGTGGACGGTGAGACGACAGCTGCCGTAGCTCGATTGGTGGAGCATCAGACATGTTATTTGAAGGTTACAGGTTTGGTCCTTGCCAATGGCAAGGCGTGTCTTCGTCCACATCAATTTCGTCACATTTTATGTCACAATTACTACAGATAATAACATCCCCTATAGTTTCCTTGGCTTGATTCCTTGGTTGGTTCTCGTTAAATGCTTTATAGCTTAGAACTTGAAACCACTGAAGCTTGGACAGAAAGATAAAGGAGCTTGCTATCGTGGTTTGATTGAAAACAAAAACAAAGGAATGTCTGCGTACTGAGTGTAGAAGCATCTGCAAAGATCTGTTGTAGAGAGTAGAGAGGGGGAGCAGCAGAGGTGGGGGTTGTGGCTGCATGCTGCATGCACTGTAGAAGAACGGAATCGCTGCATTTTCAGTGGGGCCAGGGTTGGCTCTGTCTTATACTTTATTACATGGTTTAAACGATGAGTTTAAAAGAGGAATGTTGCAGGGATCATACTGCATACTTTATTTCAAAACCACTGCTAAAGTCCAACATTGAGGGTATTACATGGGGAAGGGGTGAATGTAAATATGGTGGATAATTCATACAGTAAGTGATTATTAATAGATAAACAAGTAAAAGTAACTTAAATGAGAGAAATATGTAACGAAATATAATGTGTTTATTTCCTTCCATAGCATATAAACTTACAAAGGGAGGCAGAAGGTGAAGCAGTGTCAGACTGGGGCCTTTCTTACCTGTACAAACAATAAAGAAAAGGAATACTCATGATGGTTTGAAGTAGCGTGAAATCTGGCAGAAGCCCTGTACTCATTTTTCTCTCTCTCTTTTCAGGTGTGCTACTGCTCAATGCATGCCTGACAGTACGTATGAACACACCGAACTCGCACAAGGATCGAGGCTGGGAAAGCATCACTGATGCTGTCATTCGTCACCTCAACAAGCAGTGCAGCAACCTTGTTTTCTTACTCTGGGGTGCCTACGCTCAGAAGAAAGGTTCCATCATTGATCAGGTCAGTTCTCCTAAAGCCATTGCTTCCTAAAGGAACACTAACACCAATGCCTTCTATGACAAGTATGCACTGGGTCTGGTATTAGCAGATGTCTAATGTCTTATCTTCTTTCTTTAAGTGTTTGTTAGTATTGTATTAGATAGATTGATGTATGATAAAGAACAGTCACAATAAAAAGGCAAGCAGCCTTTTCATTTTAGTTGCATGTAGACTACAACGATAGTTCAGTGCGACCTCGTATCGGTATTATTGCCTTGTACATAGATTTATAGTTGTGCCGTGTTCATGATGTGCTGTTAGTATGTGAGTACTATTGGATGGAGCACATTGTTGCAATGCATGCTGCTGTAATGTAAAAAAATATACCCACAGAAAGAATAATTGTCGGTTTGTGTAGCTTGCACTTAAAAGAGCGTTAAAGCATTTTTAGTAGTCTAGAATGATCGTACTACAGTTGACTCTTGCTAATTCCAACTTGAAGAGACATCTGAATTTGTTTAAATTATCAAGAAGTTTGAGTTATCAGAAGTTTTCAGATAGATGCTCCGGGTGAGGTGACACCACACATTATGATTAGGCATTGATTTTATCACATTTAAACGTTTTTTAAGTGTTTTTAAGCCCTAACTGCACACAGTGAACAGAAAGCAGAGGTGTAAAGTCCACTAGTTTATTGGCCATTTACTTCTGATCAGATCTTTTAAAGAAATTGTGAACTGCCAACTGCTTCATTGCTATATGTGCCTTCAGCACAAAGCCGTCTATACCACTTGTAAAGCATCACGGTTCACCATGAGCGTATTTCATTTCAAACGTTTGTTTACTTGTAAAGCCTTTTTCCTTGAAGGCCTCAGGTGCTTATTTTTTATTTTAGACAGTTAGTATTATATAAGCACACAAATTTTTAAATAGTAGTGGGAAAGCAGCAGATATATTCTGGTATGGACCTGCAAAAAGTAAGAATTAACCGAATAATCAAGTTTGAATTAAGAGGCAAATACATTGAAAGAATAGAGGGCCAACCAAAAAATTGTATTTTGTTTGAATTAACCGAAAGTATGAATTATCAGAGTTTGAATTATTGCAAGTCTGCTGTGTTTGAATAGGTTGCTTCACAAATCTCCTGGTGAAAAATTTTCTGATGACTTTGAAGTAGCCAAATAGATTATTTTCAAGCACAGCAGCGCCACAAACAGGCGTGCAAGCTTTCACAGAAAAAGTTGGTATGCCTAAGCAGCCGCTGCGACGAGTGCAGACCCCATGCTTTACCTTTCTCCTTGTGCCAATCGAGGGCTTTTTAGACACCGTGAATTTGGCAAGGTGCAACATATTACTTAGTAATTCAATCGTGAATTTCTGTGTTTAGCTGTGAGGGCCTCTCGACAATTTCTATCGGCCCCACTGTAGGATCTGTTGAGCGGTTCAGAAGCGTCACGCTTTTCTTTCCCACTTTACGCCAGTGGTTTACGGCAAAAAAAAAAAAAAATTAAATTAAACAAAAAGGATGCAACTCAATTGCCTGTGAGGCGCAAGTGTGGTCTTATATTCGTGGATTCATTTGGAACCAATGTCCATCGCGACAAGTAGAATGTGAGCTTCTGATTTTTGAAGAGTACTATAGAAAATATAGTCGGCATTTAATAAAATAAGATACATTCACTGAACAGCGTGCATGTCACTTGTACCACTTATGTAATGAACAATAAGTGTCTTCTAACCTTCATTGGCACTCTAGTTGTAATGTACTTAGAGTGGAAAAAAAAAAAGCTGGACAATGGAGAGAATACACGCATGAAAAAAAAAATTACAAAATGAGGGTACAGCTTGCGTGTCGTAAAGAGACATGAAAAGTCAAACAACGAAGGTTTACAGTTGATTAGTACAGCCAAATTACTTGTCTTGTAACAACTGCAAAGGTTGACTTACACAAAGTGCAGCGTCATTTGTGATATTATATGCCTCCTCAATTTCTCGCTTTGTCTGATTACTGTAAAATGCTGAGCAAGTTCCCCCACCTAAGCAAGTGCCGCCTCCTTTTTTTTTGAGGGTGGGGGGGGAGAGATTGGAAATAAGCGCCAATGGACCAATCTGGGACCGAGCAAGTGTCCCCTCCCAAATATGGTCGGATTATCGTTCACCGTATGGGGGGAGGGGACGCCCTGCTTGCTCTGCATTTCACGGTGGGTTGATGGGACAAAACTACTGTGGTTTCAAAGACTGTATCACATTTGCATGACTGTCATAGTGAGGCGAGATGAGACTGCTCCATTAAATGAATTTCGATGCTCGCTGGCACACGTGTTAACACATCGCCCAGTCTAGCTGATGTACATGTGGACAAAAAAAAGTGGGAGAGAGAGAAAAATTTGCATTTTAACTGCTACACAACAACTGAAAAAACACTGGACGTGACTCTGACCGAATTTTTACTTGATCACACTGTAGACTAATAATAATATCTGGCGTTTTACGCCCCAAAACTAACATATGATTACAGTCGAGCCCGCATATAACGGCCCTACTTAAAGCGAACTTTCGCAGAAAACGAACGATACTTGCGTGAATGTGGAAATAGAGTAAAACCTCATCAATTTGAAGTCACTGGGGTGGCGAGAAATCTTCTAATTAAGCAGGTTTTCAAATTAACAGAACATTCAAAATGTGGGATGCAAGGAGCTTAGAATTATTCATAGTAATCAGTGCCAGTCGTTTGCTGGGCTGGCTAGCTTGCGGCTCAAAGGGTTATGTTTTGGCAGTACCTGTTTGTAATTTTGACGCAAACACGGGGGAATGGTGGGGCTCGCTGCTGCCACCGAAAAAAAAAAAAAAAAAAGACCCGTTGAGATTGATTGAAATGCGCGCCGGGGGAAAACAAGACATCTTCACTGCAACACAGTAGCGACACGCGGGCAGCAGGTTGCCTGCACCTCGCTGCGTCAGCACATCATGATGCGACCATTTGCACATTCTTTCTGGTATAATTAGGAATTTAATAATGGCCACTATGATGAAACTCGCAATGTATTTTGGCTGGAAAAACTGATCTTTGAAACATTCGAACTTAGTTTTTGAAGTAGGTGTTGCTGGAGCAACCGGCAAACCGGCAAGGTTTGCATACATCGCGAATTCCGCCAAACTGTCTTTTATTAATTTGCTTGCAATCTCAGAAAGAATGGGTAAACCATGACCCGTTGATGTTGCTAGAAACATGCAGTATGCTGCCCGCGTCTCATCATCGTATTGCAGTGAAGCCTGTTTAATTTTCTGCAGACACACATTTTGGTTAACCACGAGACCTTTTTTTTTCTTTTGTTTTTGCATTGGAAGTTGCGAGGCTGGGGTGCTTTAGCTACCACTCATTAGTATCGCTATGTTGCATTGCCTTGTGGCTTTAAGGGCCGCCGTTTCCGTGGATTTGCGGCGAAATTGGGATCTGGAACTGGCACGCACATGGCACTCAAAGTTTTCAAATTAACCGGACTGGTGCCGGCCACCACTTCAAGTTGACCATGGATGGATGGATGGATGTCTACGGCTGTGCCCTTTAGCTCGGGCAGTGGCTGACGCCACCTAGCCATAAAGTCAAGTAATATCACTGTGTGTTTAAGGATTGAATTTCACTCGCGCCTCGATTGTAGCCACCAATCAATTGGCCTCCTCCTGGTTATTTCTACTCGTTTAAAGTCTATTTTGCCTTCACTGTCCCTAAACACCAATGCTTTCAAAAATTCGGCGCAATTATCTTCAACTATAGGATGGAGCCCTTTACAAAACATTATCAAATGTTCAGCCATTTCCTCCTCCTCTCCACACGCACTACATACCGTGTCTGTGCCTTCGTATTTTGCTCGGAACGTCTTGGTCCACAATACTCCCGTTCTAGCCTCGAAGAGCAGAGAACTACCCCGAGCATTATCGTAGATCTTTTCCCTTGCAATTTTCTGCTTAAAAGTTCGGTAGGTCTCCAGTGATGATTTCGTAAGCATTCCAATCTTCCACATGTCCCTATCCGTTTCCTTCACCTTTTTCTTAACCGATGTTTTCTTTTGTCTTGGTATTCTGCTGTTGTCTAAATACTTGCTTGACAATATTCGAGTTCGTTTTCTCTATTTAGTATCGACATTTTTCATGTACAAGTAACTGAAAACTTTCCTCACCCATTGCTCCTCTCCCGTTTTTCTTAATCTCAGTTCAAATTCTATCTTGCTGCTGGCTTCCCTGCAATCAAACGATGTCCATCCCATGTCTCCCTGTACCCCCTGATTTGGAGTATTCCCGTGTGCTCCCAAAGCAAGTCTACCTATGCCACGTTGTTTAATTTCCAATCTTGCTTGAACTTCTGATTTCACGCACAAGACCACATGGCCGAACGTCAAACCCGGGACCATGACACCTTTCCAAATCCCTCTCACAACGTGATACCTATTGTACTTCCACAGTGCCATATTTTTCATTACAGCTGCATTCCTGTTACTCTTAGTCATTACGTATCTTTCGGGCTCCCTTAGGTACTCAGCCCCGTTATTTATCCATACGCCCAAATATTTGTATTTATCCAGTATTTCTAGCGTGACTTCCTGTATATTATGCTCACTGCTTTTGTTATCATTAAAAATTATGATTGGCGATTTTTCCCTGCTGAACTTCAAATTTAACCTATCTCCCTCATTATCACAGATGTCTATCAATCTCTGCAGATCTTCCTTGTTGTTGGCTATTAATACTATATCATTTGCATACATCAATGCTGGTAATGACTGTTCAATGTGTTTTCCTTGCTTGGCAAAAGAGAGCCTGAATCCGAGTCGACTGCCCTCTAATTTGGCATCTAGTCCCTGGAGAGAATTTGCAGAAAAGTGAGTGCCCCCTGTCGTGTAAACAGGAAAGCTTCACTCGTGCTTTTGGTTAGAAAACATCTTTGCCAACTAACATGCTCGAGCCAGTGTTTAGCGGTTGACATGCGCTTGTTTTGTTGCTCTTAGGGTCAAAACAACGTGCCC